ATACAGTTGACCCTGCAATTTTTATCAGTTTTCAATGGGGAACAAACCTAAAGAATAACTCAAGGCCAAATGCTCATTTGGTAATAATCTATCTCTACTGGGTCTCCCAGAATTTTTCTCTCTTCTTTAAGTTGTCCTTAATAGTTTCAAATTTTGTAACTAAGATTACTACTAGTAGTGCTGAATATATCAAACATTCCTACACTCACTGGCATTGTGATGCACATTCTTTAATGGGAAGATAGGGAGGAGTCAGAACGAACTTGCTGAAAATTTTGCAAAACAATATGTATGCCCATTGGAGTATGCTAAAACTTGAATGTTATTTTATCATCTATGCCACAGATAACAAAAGCATTAAGAACTGGTGGCCTTTTGGGAAAGTCAGTGATTTGGAAGTTGTATTTGGGTATCATTAACTCCTAATGTCTGCTAAGTCTGTATTATTAACTCTGTTTCTTCAAGTGTAAATTCTTTCACTGTTAAGATTGTTTTGTTTTACCCATTAGTTTTCCTCAAACAGTTGGCAACTGATAATTGTACTTTCTTGTTTGTGGTTCAGATTCCCCTGGTAGAGAATCTGTTATGTCTATTTGTACAGCTCTGCTTGCATGGAGGGCTAGAGATGCCACTGCCTATGTATAAACTATACTTTTCTCAATAAGACTGGGAAAAGTAGAGCTACTTAATTGTCTAGTTTTTTGGGGGAAACCAATCACTGCTCAGTCAGTTCCTCTCTGATCTTAACATCTACCTCAGGCAACAAAATAGTCCTATTTATCCAACTATTTTTTTCACTGTGTGGTAATGAATTACTGAAATCATCCATGGCTAAACATATCTAGAATCACGATAATTCCAGTAATGAAGCAGGGAGGAAAATCTTCTCATAGACTTAAGATGATTTTATTTTAAAACAGCTGCCTCATATAGCTCCTATCAACAAAAAAGTGTTTATAATTATTCTAAATTACTATTTGGAAAAAGAATATTGGTTAATAATCATTAATCTTATCCAATTTATCTGAGTTTAAAAAAATATAAAGGTATACCTGAAAGATTTCAGAAGCACAAAAATGTCTCCCCAAAGTTCTGGGAAAAATTAAACTGTAGAAATTCCATACTGGCACTGAGCTTCTCCCAAATCCCACAATGAAAAATGAAACTGTCCAAGACAAAAGTAGCAACTCTAAAGTTACACCCACATGAAAGAGTAAAATGGTGCATGTAGGCTTGCTTCCAAGCACGCCGGCCAAGAAAGTCTCTTCTGACACAAAACACTCTATATTTCAGTCGACAACTATTTCCCAGGCTTTCTGCTGGGTATAGACTAAAGCAAATAAGATTCTATCCCCGCCCTTGATAAGCTTAGTCAGGTAGGAAACCATGTAAACGCCATGGTCCTACATCACTTTGCCAGCATAGACCTAAAGATTCAGTGAAGTGTCTGTTTTGGGGTTGGGGAAAGGAAGGAGAAGATAGAGAGAAAAATAACTCCAAATTAGACCCTTATCTCCTACTAGAAATTTCTAGGTTGAAGGTTTTGGTATGGGTTGTAAACACTTGGCTGAAAACAGTTAGAGGTCCTCTCTCCTCTGAAGCCCTCTCATGTGTCTTTTCAGATACTGGACTGACCATCAATGTCTGTTGAACCACCAGGGAATAGGGAGAAGTAGCTTTCTCTCTAGAAGGAATCACACATAGGCTTCTGTAGGGGTCACGAATGTAGTATTTTAGAGTTACCCTCCAAAAATCAGCTAATTTTGGGTGTCAAGAGGAGAAGCTCCTTTTGTGCCAAGTTGGCACTGGATGTCTTAACTCTAATATCTGATTCATTGCTCACTGCCCCTGCATGTCTAGTCTTATGCTCATTGTACAGTTGTGGAAAATAGGTTCAATAAGATGAAATGACTTACTGAAGATCTCAGGCATATAGAAATAGAGGTGGGACCCAAATCAAAGCTCAAGCTGACCCCCAAATTCATATTCTTTTCTGAGGACCAAACAAAGGTAAAGAATGACAAGTTCTACTGTGTGTTTAGTGCTGATTCCTGAAAATTCAACCAAGAAGGAGTGGACAGAATAAGGCAAATGTGCCCACAAATTTTGGGACATGTTCTCTTTGCTCTTCCTCACAGCTCTTGCCTCTTAAAATCTGGAATTCTTAGATGGCTTCCCTGGTGGACAGTCCCTCCAATTCTATGTGAGTTCTGAAATAGGTTCCAGAAGGGAAGATGGAAACTGCACAATAGAAAATGTAACAGGATTCAAACAACTGTGTTGAATGGGGGCAGAAGTCACAATGTGATGTGACTGGTATCTTAGAAATTTCAGTATGGTGACCATGAGGAGGATGGAGCTTGTCAGAGGATGTTAAGTCTCACATCCAGGGAGACCATAATTTATTTATTTATGCATACAAGTGCAGGCCAAAGGTGCAGGGTTTGGGGGGTTTGAGAGGATTCATGAGAGACAGAGGAGGGAGCAGAACAGGCAGATGGACTGAAATACACTGTTTAGGGGAGCAGTGGTGAGACAGGAGAGGTCTGCTGCACCATGTGGGTCAGTTCCCTGGCCAGGGACTGAACTCAAGTTGCAGTGGCTGCCAACACCTTCACAGTGCTGAGAAGACTTTAACCCCTGTACCACCAGGGAGGCCTTGGGAGACCATTCAGAAATCTATGTAAGAGTGGAAGGAAGAGAGACGAGGCCCTGAACAGTGCAGTAGCAACTATGTGGAGAGAATGGAGTAGAGAAATGAGTGATGTCACAGCAGCAGTGTCAATAAGACCTATTGACTAGTTGGCTCTGGAGGGCGTGAGAGACAGGAAGGACTGTTGGTGAGTCCCAGTGTGTTGACTGGGGTGACCAGGTTGATGGTGACACTCTTCTTAGAGACCGGGAGGAAAAATGCCGGCTTTTGTTTGGAGGTAGTGTTGATCACTCCAGAGAGAACTGTTCCACAACTGATTGGATTTGTTCATTCTTTCACTCTACAAATTTTTGTTGACATCCCACCCTGTGCCAGTTATTGAGATTGGCACTAGGTACAGCCTGAGAACCTAAAATGATGTATTCTCTGCCATCGTGAAGTTCACAGGCAGCAAACATAGAAATGCACTCACAATGACAAATAGCAGCACATGTTAGGAAATAAAGACTAAGGTGCTATGAGCAGAAGAGTCAGGCTGAGAGGAGAGCGTGAGACTTGATAGTGAAAACTGGAGGACTTAACAGGAGTAGAAGGTTCTGGGACTCGGAGGAGGCAACATCTTGCTGGAAATGGGTGTGTGTGTGGATGAGGAGGAGTGGACGATGTCCATCTGCATGGAGATGGGAGTGGAAGACCATGTGAGGGAGATGAGTCAGAGAAACTTGTTCAGTGTCAGGTGGGGGGAGGGGAGGCGGAAGACCCAGACCCCCTCTAGCTTAGGACAATAGTTTTATTGTCTTAAGCCTCTAGATTCACTCTCAGAGAAAGCTCAGTTTTGATGTACCTGGCTGAGGTTATTTTTTTGCCCACGGATCATGACTATTTTGCCACGTCTTCATTTTGGGCATGCTTGGCACACCAAAATGTACCCATTGGTTTGGCCTGGGTAGTAGAGACCTGAGTAATTCCCTGATTACATTCATGCTAGACTGGATTGAAAAAACAAATAGAGACAACTTCCGTGTCGCTCATGCTCCAGTCTCTTCCCTGACTCAGAGTCGAGACATGGTTTTGTAAGGGAGCCCAATGAAGCCCCAGCGCTTCTGGGCAGAAACAGCGCAGTCAGAAAACACTCAAAACCACTTGGAATATCTAACAAGAAGAGAAAACTGCACCGCACTGGGCTTCAAGCAGAGTTGTTCGGCCACATGCAATCAATACCCACAACAATACTAAAAGCACATTTATCGAGCTTGTTTGCTGGGGCTGTTCAGTTCATTCAGTCTTCAAACTGTCCTCCCAAGGAGTTACACTTAGTTGCCTTATTTTGCAGATGAAGAAACTGAAGGGTAAGAGTTAATGCACTTTGCCAAAGTCCCTGGCTTTAAATTGGAAGAGATTGGTTTTGAAGCTGGAAGTCTGGGTCATAGAGCCTGTGGGTCTTACCTGCCCTTCAGGGTCACAACTATAGTAGGGTACAAAGGCCTGGACTGGGGGGACCTGATGGCAAAACCCTGTGGGGTGCTGAGCTCTGGGAACCTAGCGTTGGAGGAAGGGGGGTTGGTGCTCCAGACAGACTCCCCTGAAGGCTGAGGGCCCACCTCTAGGAAGGGAAATCATCCCGAGGCAATTGACTTCAGAGAATCTGGGGTTCTGCTTAGTTCAGCTTAGTAGGGGACCACTTAGTTGAGCCCTTGGTTTGCAGGTGGGGAAGCTCAGGCACAGAATAATGTCAGAAGTACAGGAGGAAGCAGCAGAAATCAGGTCTGAGAGCACTTCCTCCCCTAGCAAGCTCTCCCTTCTTCCCTGCTCCTATTCCTTCTTTTTTCTTGAGGATTTCACCCCCACCCCCTTTCCTCTCCTCACCCCAGGGAGCTGGTCTCCTGCCCCCACCCACTGCCCACCTCAGAGGCTTACTCCAGCTGAGTGGTCCTTTATGGTTCCTGCGGAGTCTACAGGGCAGCCAGGAAGAAATGAAGACAAGACATGCCCCCACCCTCCTGCCCCCCAACGTTGGCTTCCCGCAAAGGGCCCTCACCAGGGAGCCACATGCTGACAACATCCTTCCCCTTTCAGGCCCTACACATCCACTCTTCTAACCCAGGCCATTTTTATCCCAACTCACCTGTCCTAGGCAAACCCATTTCAAAGGCTCCACCTGGGTCTCATCTAAGGCCTCCGGACACAAGGTTCCATCTGGAGGCCTCCATCAAGTACCTGAGGACTGGGGCAGCTGTGACCCCCCAGCATCCCTCCCCTCCCCTCCTCACATGCCACCCTGGAGACATGCTGTGCCCACCCACAGGATGGTCTTAGGCCATACAAGGCACAGGCAGATCTTCCTTACCTTTCCACCTGGAGGTTGACTTTGGAAGGCTCCACGTTGGGATTTTCCCATTCCATTTGCGGGCAGTGCATGAAATAGCAAAGGGTGTACAGGGCCTCAGGCTCCCAGTAGAGCGCCCCCTGCTTGTTGTGCAGGGGGGTGCCATTTCCATGGTGCTTGGCGTTGAGGGGCTGCAGGTGATGCATGGCTCGGGACACCAGGTCACCTGTGGACAGGAATAAGATGTTAGATCCTTCAGGTAGCCAGAACCTGAAGACTCCTGCAGAGTCTGGTCCTAGGATACCTTCGTTCAAATGGGGTGATGCTTGAGACCTCCAGGTCACCCTTCAAGCAAGCAGGACATCTTTCATTCATGCACCACTGCCAAGGGTTACCAGGTTTGTGCTGCTTTGAGCACAGAGGGCTACTGGGATAATTCCAGTCCTGCTCTTCTGGAACCCATCCCCCCAACAAGGCACAGGAAGCCCCCAGGTGTGTCTGTTTCCGGCCACCCTTACTGCGGACTCATCCTCGCTGCAGCCAACACTGGCTTTCTTGCAGTCATAAGAGCAGAGTGTATTTACTGTCTCCTTCCTCTGACCCAGTGAATATGCAATTGTATTTATCCAGAACATTCTTTCTCTTCTTTTCTCCAGGCTAATTCTTATTGATCGGTCAGATGTCAGCTTCTGTATTAATTTCTCCAGAAGACCATGGCAGAATTTCTTCTGTCATCCCTCATGCTACCACACTGCCCTTTTCTAATCTCAGCATCAAGATCACGGAGTTAGAATTGCCTATTATTCACTTTTTAAACAATACATACATCTAAAAAGGAAATGCTATGTCACTATCATAAATGTAAAACTGGAATCACTTACCATATACAGAAGGTCATTGTAAACATTAATTGATGAAAACAAACTAATTTACAGCTGAATTTGGCCCTACTTTCTTTTGACAAGTGTTAGAGAAGTGTTAGGGACTCAGATCAAATGGAGGCTTTCTTCTCATAGCAGTTAGAAGTTAAAAGAATCACTCCAAGGCCAATGTTATTTATTCAAGACACTGCCTGTCCCACTTAAAATCATCACCTGTACAGTGGGTGTGTTGTGCACTTTGGGAGACGCTCACTAAGTCATCTGCAATGGCTAATTTTATGTTAGTTGGGCTAGCTCTCTGGTGCCTAGTTCCTTGGTCAAACCAATCAATCTGTCCAGGATGGCCACAGCCACCTCCGAATGTGTCTTCAGGCAATCCAGCATTATGTGGCCGAGGTGTGAGCAAATGCTCCTTACCCTTGATTTAGTAATTCCATTTCTGGGAACCCTTCCCAATGTTAGAATCCAAAATGTAATCAAATCTTCATGCACAAGGATTTTCATCTAAATCTTATTTGCAGGACCCAAAATTTGACAAAGAAAGAATGTTTACAAATAAGAGCAAGAATAAACAAACCGGTACATCCATGTGCTAAAATAACAAATGTATGCAGTCATTAATAGTGTTCACATGAAAAAAATCCTCTTGTTGAAATGGGAAGTGGGGGAGGAAGCTAAATTCAAAATTGCATACAGTGTGATCAGGATTATGTTATTAAAAGACTATGCACTGAGTAAATAACAAAATGAAAAAAAAAATACTAAAATGTTGACCAAGGATTTCTCTGCTTAATGGCCTTGCGGGTGACATTCCCTTCCAACTTTTCTATAGCTCCTGACTTTGAAGTATGGCATCTGTTCCTTGGTATTACTGGAATAAGAAGCTTAACAAAGTGGTGTTTACTTTCTTGTACCTTCCATCTCGGGTAGGTTGGGATATGCACAGATTTCTATCAGCTTTCTTGAAAGCTTCCATTAAAAAGTTCGAAACAATAAAAATTAAAAGGGAGCAAGAAGGTTCATTTTTCTGGTCCCTGGACCGACCCTCCAAGTCCTAAGATGTGGGGAAGTCTGTGGGCCTCATTGTCCAAACCATCTCCTCTGAGCATCTCTGTGCTCGCCTGCAGTTCCGGGCTTTGTTCTTGTTTCCCACACCGGTGGGCCCTTCTCGTCTTCTTCCCAAACACTGAAAACCTACAAGGCTGTGATCAAATGTCACTTCTTCCATGGACCCTTCCTTCCAGGACGTCTCCCCACCCCGACTCTGTGCCCACCAAGGAAGCTGCTCCCTACAGATGCCAGTTAGATGCTCCCTACAGATGCCAGTTGGCCCTTTCTTTATATACTTGTAACATCTGCTATAAGACCTAATAAATTACTCAATTTTTATCATGGTTCACAGGTATTGTACTCACATCTACTTCCCCTACTTTGCCTCAAAGGCAGAGACCATGTCTCCTAGTGTGGCCTATTCCTGGAGGGCTGGTGTGGTGTGGGGGTTAGGAACATGGCCTCCGACTCAGACTGTCTACCACTGACCAGTTGGGTCACCTTGGGTGAACTGTTTAGTTTCTCTGGCTATGAGTTAATGGAAGAAACTTTTGAGCAGGGGCCTGAATGAAGTGAGGGGATGAATTTTTGAGACAGAAGGAGCAGCAGGTGTAAAGGTCCTGTGGTAGAAGCAGGAATGGATTATTGAGAATACCAAAGTGTTCCTGTGCTACGCTGCTACCAGACAAGGTCACAGTCGCACCCTAAGGCCTGGCGGTGGCAGGACTCTGTCTACATTTCAAACAAGAAACAAGAGGATTTTTTTCTGGCAGCACTAAGAAGAGACAACTCAGATTCCTTTTTCTGCACAGTTATAAGTTAATAGCCCCATTTTGACTGTCTCGTTGAATGGCAATAACATGTTCACATTTTAGTATTAAGAGAAAACAGGAAGAGGTATTTCATGAGAAAGTTTTTTTTTTTCTTTTAAACAACAGAAAGCAAGCACCATAAGTGATGGATGTTTAATGGGGTTTAACTGAGAGCATGGGAACTAGGGTGGGTCACTGGGTAGAAGAATTGAGACAGAAGTCTCAAAGAACACAAATATAGGATTGGCTGGGCCAAAGGCAGAGCTGATTTGGTTCAAGAGTGGGAAATCCAGGGCCTCCACATCCCCCAGAGGGCCCCATGGGGAAGACTGGGTGGGCCCACTTTCCCAGACCTACCTCCTGGGCCAGAAGGGAGATCTGGATTACCTGAAGACCTAAGTCAACAGAGATGGTCGGTACATCACCTTACAAATGTCCTTGAGTTAAAGAGTTAAAGGACCCCCAGCTTGTGGCCATCAGGGAGTCCTTGCAGTAGCTTTATCAAGTATTTCAGATCTATGTAGGCTCAGGTCTCGGTCTCTGAGTTCAACATTCAACTCAGTGTCATATTAACTGTTGGAATGAATTTCGTTAAGCGTGCCTCTCACCTCCCACCGGTGAAGGGCTGGATGGGGAAGACGTGGCCTAGCTACACAATGGAGGACTCGGCAGCTTGAAGGAAAAATGAAATGTTGCCATTTATAGCTGAATAAGAAAGTCAAGGAAATTATATGTAGTGAGGCCAGTCAGAATGACAAGGCAATTATTGGACATTTACGGACAAAGACAGACTTTCCAAACAACATCTGAAAGCTGACCATAGATCTGACATCTCTAGAGGGGGAGGAGGAGGGTGGGAGGAGAGAGTGTGATGGACGAGGGTAGGAGACTATGGGTTGCTTGGTGGGTGCTGTAAGGTGTCTATACCTGAAGGGGTGATCCTATACCTCCAAAAAATACAAACTGGGAAAACGGATGGCCAACCAAAAACCAAAATAAAATATTTTAGAATAAAAAAGTTGGACAATGATATAGTGGGATGATTCAACAAAGCAACAATATTTCCAAAAGCTAGTAGACATTAATGAATGAGTACAGGTTCCGAGGTTAGGATGAAGGCGGTAGAGAGCAAGGATAAAGGGGCATCGGGGGGTGGTGGGGAAGAAACTCCAACAAATGCAAACCAATATAAAAGCCTGAAAAGGGAAAGCTGTACTGGGAAATGGTCACTAAGGAGGAGGATGCTTTGGCCTGGTCCAAGGACCCATGGTTAAAAGAGTTGGAGCAATACTGAAAGAAAAAGAGTTCTTCTCACCTGTAATCTTTTCTTTAGCTTTTGTTACACAGACTAGTTCACTGTGGTTCATTCAGTTATTCCTTTGACCTTCTCCCTAAGGTTTGTTTTCATTTCCCAAGCTTTGGGCATTAAGTTAGGTGCTCACAGTGCAAAGCTGAGTGACACACAGCCAAGTGGAAAAATGAAAAAGAGTGATTTAGGCTCTGCCACTGCCTGGCTGTGTGAGCTTAGTCCTGCCAAGGGTTAGTCTTCTCTTCTGGGAACTGGGAACACCTCCAATGAACTTTAAGTACTTGTTATATAGTAGGTACCCCCAAAATAAGAGGTGTATATATTTTAAATATTTATTTACTTATGCATGTAGAACTGGGGTACAGGCCAGAGGTGTGGGGTGGGTAGGGAAACAGAGTGGGGAGCAGAACAATCCAACTGACGAAGTACAGTGCTGAGGAGACAGTGGGTGGGTCAGGAGAGGTCTGCCGTGCCATGTGGGCCCCCTCTGGGGTGGGGGTTGAACTCATGCTAAAGTGGCTTTAGCTTCTCAGTGCTGTGCTTTAACCCGCTCCATCACCAGGGAGGGCCCCACAAAGGGTGTATTTTTAGCCCAAGTCATAACAGGTTGGACAAAGGCAAGAACTTCGGATATCCTGGTTGCCCAAAGTTCTGGATTTTAACTTGATGCCTGAGGCAAGGGTTACAGGGAGAAGTCTCAGCCTGCAAGGGGCGGGGGGAGTCCCCATCTATGTGCCTAATGGGGTCTGCATAACTTGGTATCTTTCTTATTTCTGATTTAGTCCTCAGGGCTGGAAGGAAAACAGACCTGGCTGGCATCTTAATCGTACAAGAGGGGCTCCCGTTCCATCTGCAAAGTGTAGAAACATCTGCTTGGGCCTCCCATATTGGGAACACAGTCTAGTGCTGAGGTGCCCAGTGTGGGCCTTGGGGAGCCGGGATTCAATCACAAGCCCCTCAGCTCACATCTTAGATTAGCTGTTTAACCTCCTCTTACTTCCATTTGCACATCCATGTGGGTGTTCATGGTTACACTAGAAATAATTCATGTAGATGTCTCATAGTTCCCTAGTCCCTTGAAATCAGCTGCTGCTATTATAATTACTGGTGATGAAGGCCATAGTGAGGGGCTCTGCTCTTGACCCTGAGCACACATAGCTCTGATCCAGGAAGAGCAGGGATGGATAGCTGGGATAAACTCTCCTCATCCTGCTTCTGCTGGAAAAACACTGGTGTCTAGAATCCACACTGGCAGAGTAACCTTTGAATATGAAGAACAGCTTTCTATGTACACACACAGAGAGAAGCTGTATTGATTTAGACCACAGTGCAAGCCAGTCTAAATTACAGTCAGATCAGAAAAGAAGGCTATTTCATTAGCTTCAGGGGCCGGCAGTCCTTACCAAAGTGCTTCCGGGCACTCATTCTACGGGGCTGAATTAATGAATGTCTATGGCCATTTGCAATTAGCAGTTCCCACTGGCGTGCCCACAACTCATTTGTGAAAGTCAGTGCTCAACAGCAACAGTAGCGGTTAATTTACAGAACAAATTGTCCTTACAAACATTTTACAGGGCAAGTGCTTCTCATACCTACGTTGATTGATACAAAAATAAAGGTGCTTAGTGATGTGCAGATTTGTTCAGCAAACCTTGTCTTTTGGAATTAAGCAGGTACCCAGCTCAGGTGCTAGATGCTACGAAAGGTCCGTAAGATACCCCAGGACAAGCCTTTGAGACCCCAAAGACAACATGGCCCACCTTGTCCCCAGCTGTCGTGACACAGGCATGGCCCCATCCTATAGCCAGATTCTACGTTTCCAGGGTCATCAGCACCTCTTGGAAATCTGCAGAGTCCCAAAGCATGCACGGCATTTCTTCTTAGAGAAATGTTTCCCAAAGGGGAAATGCTGAATCCCCGGGGAGCTGTTAAAATGCAGACACTTCCTTATCCATTTCCAATTGTTGCAAATCTCTTAAAATATTGTTCACATGCATCACTACCCTAGAATAATGGGGTCATCAGAGCTGCCCGCTAGATCTTGTTTTATCGTGTGCTCATAAAAAAAATTGAATTATTACACCATAATTCAGATTAAAATATTTCCATAAATTAATTTTAACACATTGTTTTCCTTGGTAAATGTATGTATTTCATTTTACGTATTTAATGCTATTATTTCTGCTCCCCCAAATTTAAAAGAAACACATGAATGACTAGCAGCTGGAAGACTATGTGCCTGGAGGCATCTAGTGACTTTAGAGGTTTGATGAAAATGGAAATGCAATTTCCAAATTCGGGTGCCAGGATCTCGCTCCTGGTGATCACAAGGGACACTTCCGATTTGGATTGGCTATGCCTGCCTTGTATCCAGAGGACCACATAGCTTGCTAAAGGGAGGAGGCCAGTCCTGGATGTCCAGGGAATTCCCTTGAAAAGAGGTATTGGCTGCTCTCTGAATCCTGAATCCTTTTATAGTTCAGGATTTTCTAGTACTTCCCACCAACTCATACTTTACCATAACATGGTGTTTGTGAGATCAGCGTTCAGTCCCATCAGGAATTAACACGCAGCTAAATCACTGCACAAGCCATTGGATCACAAGTAAATACAATTTCATTTTCCTCTGGTTGGCCAGACTAAGAGAACACAGACCTGAATTAGGGGGTGTGAAGCATAGCAAATAATTGTTCAAATTTGGTAACATTCGGGTGACATCCTGATCTGGACAATATCTCTGTTCTCCCCTCCTCTGACTTTTCTTCCTCCTCCCTCTCGCCTCCTTCTTTCTCCTGTCCTGCGTCCCTGCCTCCCACCCTCCACTTTACCTTCTCTCCTCTCTTCATTTTCCTGAGGTTCTACTATTATGTACCAGGCAGTATTCTTGGTGGTAGGGTTACATCAATGAACAAAACAAATATTGCTACTCTGTGAAAATATATTCTATTGATAGTAAGGATAATTTATAAAAAATAAATGAATAAAAAGGGACAATTATTAATGGTTATTGGGTTTCTTCTTATGATAAAAGTGTTCTAGAACTGATTGTGGTTATGGTTGTACAACTTGGTCTACGAGCTATAGATGAGTTATATCCCATGGAGTTGATATTAAAAAACAAAAATTACATTGTCACAGGATAATTGCTGGGGAGAAAGGTAAAGCAGCACAGGAGCATAGAGGTCATCAGGGTGTTATCATCTTTTTAAGGATGGGATAATTTTAAATAGGGAGATCAGGGAAAACTCATTGAGAAGGTAAATTTGGGTGAGATTTGAAGATATCAAGGGAGAAAGACACATGGGTATCTGGAGGAAGAGTGTCCAGGAAGAAACCGTGGTATGTGCAAAGGTCCTGTGGTATGCTTGCTAATGTCACACAACAAGAGGGCCAGGGTGGGATCAGGGAGCCTTGGCAGAGTGGGGAAAAAAGATGCCTGAGGGACATAGGTGGGCATTCTATAAGTACTTCTGTGGACTTTGCTTTTTTTTCTGTGGGTTAGATGGGAGCCAGAGAAAGATTCTGAACTGAAGGGAGAGGTTGTCTGAGATGTGATTTAAATGGATTCCGTTGTGGAAATCAACACAGTAAATTTAGCAGTCACCATTCACAATGTATTCACTGTACTCTGAGCACACCCAACCCCTTTATGAGCAAGCACTTGTTGAGTCATCTAAAAACTACTAGGTACTATTAGTTTCTTCTGTTTTATAGGAGAAGAAACTGAAGCTTAGATAAGGTTAGGGGTTAGGAACTTAACCCACTACAATGACAGAGGCAGGAAATTCACCAGGTCCGCCCAACCCCAGAGTCACCTTCCCATACCATCATGCAGCACTGTGTTGAGCACACAGCAGGTGCTCAATAAAAGGTGTCACCTGTCTGTTTATAAAGCAGCTCGCTGCGGAGAGGTGTCACACTGGGCACAGAGGGGCCAGGGACCCAGTGTCCACTTACTCAGTTCTGCGATGCTGCCCACGCGGGTCGCCAGCAGGGACTGCTCAATGGTCCTCAACTCGGACTGGCTGAACATGGGCAGTTCTCCTGGCTTGCTGGACCGCTGCGGGTCTCTGTGAAGATTCAGGCTGTCAGGCAGGCACAGCACTCCTGAGTTGGGAGACAGAGAATGAAAAGATAAGACTATTATTTTCCATTTATCCAAAAGAGGGGTCAAAACTTCACACAACCTCTATCAGGACCAGAGTGGATATCACTAAGGCAAGTTGGGGTCCCAGGCTCTGGACTGCTTTTAGAAATGGTGTCATTCGTTTCCTTAAAGTCCAGCTGATTGACATTTCCCAAGGACAGAGAGGAATCCTTTCTTTGGTTCTGGCAGGGATTCTCTCCACCCAGAGCTGCCTCTTGAGTTACGGGCAGGTGTTGGGGGAGGGGGGGTGTCACTGTCTCATTCTTCTCCCAGAGACCACCACTTTCCTAGGCACCCTGGAGGAAAAGCCCCCGCTGACAGTTGCTTCTGAGGTTGCTTCATTTACTCAATCAAGTTCACTCTGGGTGGCTGGGCTGGTATCAGTTAGACAAGGCTCTGGCTTTCTCTGTGGAGCTTTATGCCAGGAGGTAGAAGAGTCCCCATGGAGTTTTGTAAGTTGTAGGCTGAAAACCCATGGGAAATCCCTGGAATCCAATTATTTTCCCCCTTTGCTGTCTATTGCAGGAACATTTAACAAGGCCCTGAGAACTTTCTTTGACTAATTTGTCAGTAGAAATAGTCACTATTCCCCTCACGACCCCAAACTTCACGGTAGAGTGTTTCTGAGCTCTCTGATGTTGGGTTCGACCCTGATTTTGGGTTTGATCACTTGACTTATTTTGGTCAAAGGTATGTTATTGGACACAATGAAACTATAACTTGCTCTCTTGAACTTCTGCCTCCATCATAGCAAAACATGCCCCAGCCAATCTGCAGGTCTGAGGAGGGCGAGAGACACATAGAGCTCCAGAACCAACCCTCAGCTTAGAACTGCACCCAAAAATCAAGTCTTAGTTTGGTGGCCCATTGAGATAGTGGGGTTGTTTGTTATGCAGCATTATTCTGGTGGTATCTAACTGATACATCTCCCAAGCGCCAGTCCCCAAGAAGACAATGAACAAGACAGGTACAGTGTTGAGTGTGGGGCTGACGATTCAGTGATGGACCGAGTACGCTTACTCTCTGCTTCACAGTCTGAGCAAAGAGTCAGACAGCCACACACACACTACATATGATCCATGCCCTGTGGCAGAAGATGATCGGCAGTATGTCTTTGCCAGGACTTGAGGAATGAACAGTTGTCCCTAAGGGGGACCCGCCATTTTCCCCAACCCTGTTAGCCATTTTGGAGATGCAAAAGAAGCAGAAGACAGACACTAGTATAACAGCCTAGTGAAGAGACAAGACAGCCCATGACTGAATAATCTGGGAACAAAAAGACCAGTATCAATATACAGTGAAGTATTTAAGTCAACTGGCAGGGTGAGGGGAGACAGAGAGACAGCATGAAAAGATTAATAGTTCAAGTCCATGCTTCACACGAACCACAGAAATTTCGCAAACACATTTCTCTGCTTTGAAGCTGGGTAGGTATGAGGGGCTGTCACCTGTGTCTTCCGGCTCACACTGCCTACAGCGACTCACCTTCACAACTGATAGGGAGGACTACTCATAGCTGCTCTTTGCATGCATAATGAATAACTGGATGAATAATGCAAATGACCATTCAGTGCTAATGTGCCTGTCATCAAGGAAACTGGTCAAGGAAGTTTCTAAGATTATTGCTTTTCAAACACTTTCAACTGTGACTCAGAATAAAAATGTATTTTAGATCATGGCCCAAAGGAAACCCACCCACTATTACTCCTATCACACACATTTTTTCATGTTTTCCTTGAACAAATGTCATGGAAAATAAGACTGACACACACTAAGAAGGATATGCTCTCAAAATGTGCTTTTAGTTCCGTTTCTCTTCTATCTTATTAATAAAATCCTGTTGGCAGCCCCCAAAGTGATTTCATGCCATAGTCATGTGTCATGAGGGGCATGAAAAACACTGTGGATGTGTCAGCACACACCGTGGCATTCACAGGCCAACACAGGTGCCTGTCACAAGACACCACCTTGTGCCACACCAGGTGCCCCCCAGCACACAGTGATGACAGAGAGGCCATCCCAGCAATCCAGGGACTGGAGACCATCACCCAAACCTGCTGTCCCCTTTCCCAACAGCTGAGTGAGTCACCCTCCTGTTCACCCTCGCAGGGATATTCTGCGTCATCTTTGCTCCTGTTGGCTCACCTGCCCAGGCATTTTGTCAGAAGTCACATCAAGAAGCTGTTGCCGTGACAATGAACACAGGACCAGTCCCTCATGTGATGTCCCCGAGTTCCCTGACTTAGTGACCTTGAAGAACTCACTGCAGATGGCACCAAGGGTCATGACCCAGTGTGGTGAAGAGGCTAAGGTTTTGGGTGATAGGGCTGGAGGTGGGGGCTGTGAACGGGGTTGGCTCGAAGTCAAGGAGACCCATGATAGTCCCTGAATACCAGAGAGCATGAAATCACCCACTGAATTGTACAAATGGCCCTGACATTTACTCACAGGGCTGCTGTCTTGGTATTTGCATTATGTGGAGTATAAAGTTCTTATCCCAGACCTGCATCTGAAGCACTGATTCACACATTGGTTAGAGTTTAGAGCAGAGTTTTAATATCAGCTCAGTTACATGCCACCTCTGTTTAACCTTGGACAGGTCCTCAGGTCCTCGCCCATGAAATGGGGGTCATGGTCATGGCTGTGTCCCCTCATGGGTTGCTGGGGCTGGCAGATGCAATGAGTTTGTGTGTGACGAGGTGTTGTGTCTCTGCTGAGCAAACCATAGGTATTCAACATATGTTCACTCAGATGAAAATCAGTTAACATGCATGAACTCGGCTTTGAACTACTTTATACTTATAGGAATAAGCAATTTCCTTTGGAATTATTCCTCCTTCTTTTAGAGGGTTATAAAATTCAAATCTGAAAATGCAATTATTCAAAGATGCTTTAAAAGCTAGATTACTGAGATTTGAGAAATCTATAATTGACCTATTATGCAAAAATTATACATCAGGATTTTCTTTATTTTTCTAGAGGACTTTCTAGGGGGCATACACATAAGCTGGAGTTATTTATTTTTTATATAAAACCCAGTTAGGTCAATAAGATGGCCCCACATCACATTCTCGTGTCAGATACAGGCTTGAGTTTTGGACAACACATCAATTTTCATTACTGGAGCCAAGCACAGCCAGTTTGGTGATTTGGACTCAAATTAAAGACAGGGGAAACCAAAGTTCAGATGTGAGTTTGACTGAAACTGAAGGAAATAGTTCCCCTGTGGAGCAGGATACCACAAACCAGAGTCTACCATGAGCTTGAAGGGGTGATGGCCCCCCTGAAATTTCTATTATTTTGGGGTGTGTTCTGCTGGGTTGTGTGTACTTATTTAAGGGGAGGTTCATGTGAATGAACTCCTTAAGAGTCCATAAGACCTAAACAATGATGAGCCAATGCCTTTGAGTGTCCACATCATCAGTCATTAACGGGTCTCTCTGCTCAGACACTGTCTGGCTGAGTAGACTGGGTGTGACCCTGGGCCCTGAGGAAGCTGATCCTGTAAGAGCCTTGTGCATCCTACAAAAAGCACCTCCCAGCCCCCTGGTCAGCTTTCAAGTCTGCAAGAAGAGGTTAAAATATCTACTTCACAGATTTATTGTAGTGATTAAACAAGGTAATACACTTAGAGCCGCTGGCTTAGCATAAGTGCATGATAAAAACCCTTTTACCACAAATGTGCACTTTTGTTTATTTAATGCCTGGGTTCAAACAGTCTTGCAGGTTGTATTTCCAAAATCGAGTGTGAGTGGAGAGCCACAACTCCCAGCCAAGTCACTGAGAACATCAAATATGAGAAATGCTTGTCTGGGTGGTGCCTGAGCCAACCCTTTGTGGCCTGTGTCTCTTGTGGGGGGTAAACAGGGGTATGCTTTACCCCTGTGTAGGTCCACTTTCCTGTATACACAGGATGGCCCCTTGGGAAATCTCCCAGGTCCAGAGCACCTGGGCGAGAAGACTGTCCTCCTCATGGAGCTCACCATATAACCATGTGTGAGAGGTTTTCCCTGGCATCATCACCCCAATGCTGGTTAGGATGCAATCTTGCTGAAAGCTGACATACCTGCCAAACTTCAAATAAAAAACATGGTTTACCCCCATGTGACAAAGGTCAACAAAGATATAGCCTAGGTATGTTCCCTGTTGTATTGCTACTAGGAAGCTCAGAGCCAAAGTTACAATCCACCAATAAGGAAGAAATTTCATTTGATTTTTCTTTTGTTTCACTTCTTCATCTAGTATACACTGTTGAAATATACATATTTTATATGATGGCCTCAAATCTTTAGAAAACAAATGAATTATACATGGGCAGAGAGCTCGTGAGGAGAATATGGGAAGGGACTTCCCGGAACTGAAGCTGTAGCAACAAAGGGTTTGCTTCGACCCCTGTGTGGGGCTTATGGTGTAGCTGTGGGGAGCAGCTAGAATCAGGAGTTGAGTGTGTAGTGCTGTGTGTGTGTTGTGTGTGGGGGCATTGACTACACAAGTCTAGGCATCCTGAACGTGCCCGTGGGTGCTGTCTTGCCTGTCTCTGTCTCCAAGAAGAGAACACAATTTCCTAAGTTCTGCCTGTCAAGTTAGGTCTGGTTTTCTACTATATTATCCCTAGAATTTAAAGCGGAGGGTCTTGGCACTTGTCCTAGCTTTAAGAAAAGGGGAAGAAGCAGCTGGAGGACAGCAGGTCAACCCCTGAGGGCACCAGACAGATCCTGCTGGGTTCAGATTCCCACCTTGCTGGCTCCCAGCTGTGTAGGGCTGCCTCCTCAGAGCCTGGGTTTCTTTGTAAAATGCTTGATGCTATCTCCCTGCAGAGGGGCTAGGAGGCCGTCATGGGATAATAAACATGGACAACCTGACACAGAAAAAGGGGGCGATAAATGTTTGCCAATAATCCAAGTGAAGTTCTTTGAAGCTAAAGGTTTAGGAATTGAATAACACGGTGTCAGAAGGCTTT